AACAGACTTACCTTGCGATTCTTCAGCTTGAGCCCCATATCCAAAGACTTTTCTTGAAGAATCTTTATATCTGAACTTATTGAACCTATCTCGACCTAACAAATGATAGAAACTGTATGAGTTTTGTTGATTACAAATTAATTTAGATATTCATCCTAAGAGCTAAAAAAAAATCAAAAGCTAAGAAATCTATTGTGTAACACCATAAACAAGGCTGGTTATCCAGAAGTTCCTATGAAAAAATGTAGAAACAAAAATAAAAAATAAAAATGCGGCAATAATTTTAAGAAGGACAAAGATAAAAGTTGGTTTCTCTTGGATCTGCATTTATTCTGATTTATATTACCTGTGAATTTGTTTCCGTTCTTTTCTGAAGGGTTACACATTTTATATGGGATATTTCTAGTGTTCAGGAATTTCTCACGCCATACACCTAAGTAATGTCATCTAGAGAAATGAGAAGCAGCTGAGAGATTGAGACAAGAAATGATACCTGAAATCCACTGAGAACCTTCTCCATTTGCGACAGAATAGTGTCACAATCATGAATTTGATCGTGAAGTGATACTAGATTGTCACTTTCTTTGATATAATCCTGACATCGAATATAAAGGTAAAAAGATCACAAGTAAGAATAGTCAAATTAACCCCACATATCAACACATACATGGCTTATTTGATATATAGAAAATATAACATTGGTGCTACAAATCAACGAACTACGAAAATATTATTGAGTGGCGTCTCCGCATGACTGGACTATATTCCTCTAAATCGTTGACCACTATAATCATTCACAAATGTAATGGAAGATGAGAAGTTCCCCAATGTACTAAACAATATTGCAAGAAATAAGCATATGGATAACTGAATATGCCTAAAAAAAAAGAACAGGTCTATTGAATTTGAACCTCGATAGAGTCGAGTTCAATTTGCCTTAAATTGTTCTCAACATCCCTGGTGTAGTCCCGCAATTTCGTACCTTTAGACAGTATCATGGAAACTACCTTCACGGCAAAAAGCACAAAAAATATATAAGTGGTACAAATTATGGCTTTCATCAACTGAACAGATTGTAGAAACTGTAGTTTACATACATCATCAGTTTTACAATCTTGAAGCTCTTGCTCAAGTCCCTCCAATGAAATAGCATCACTAGCAGA